TTGGCCAATTTTTTATTTTCTCTGCGAGACATCAACTTGACACTTGGACTCTTGCCCCCAGAAGACACGGGGTATGGCGTGATTCTGTGGGTGTTGAGAGTTCTAGGTCAGGGCTTAAATCAGAGTATGCGGATATTTTTCACCAGAGTTTTCTCTGCTTGTTACGCCATACTGACGAGCCTCAAAGAGGGCGAAACAGCTGTCTACGGGTACAATCCCGCTCTGTTTTGAGTTCTTTTGGTGTCATGTTGATATCTTGCAGAGTTAATTTTCACGTAGTAGGATCAGCATTGCAGTATTCTGCTTGCAGAATTTAATTAATATGTCTAATAATTTATCATTTATTGGGTGCAAAATAGCATTCAAATATATGATCTAATGCGGTTTCAGTTGAAGTGCAGTATGGGTAGAATGGAGTGCTATGAAAGGTATGCTTATCACGTGGGAAAGCATTCTAGGCCGACACCTCGTTTAACTTATAGAGAATACTTCATGGAAAGTGCTGGCGTACGGTATTTACGCACGAGTCGTTGACGTATCAGAAATCGAACGAGTGAGTGCAGCGAACGAGTAAGATTATTTCTGATACAAAAACAACGAGTGCGTAAATACCGTACAAAACACTTTGCATGTGGTATTGTGTTTATTATATACATACTGAGACATTCATCATTTTGGCAGCCTTTTTATTTTAAATCTTTCAAAAATGCTACAATTTGCCGCTACACACTTACAGCAAAATGACAACGAAAACGAAGTATCCGCTTTTTAGTAAAAACGTTTGTTAAAAACATAAATGACGGTGAGGATATGAGGTAATCCAAGAACTATAAGTAATCTTAACTGTTTGTTCTCAATGTACAATTGAAAATGAGTGAATTTAAGCAAAATGGCCGGTTTCAATATAAGCTTAATCAGAGTTAGTTTAGTTAGGTATAATAGATCTTAGATTTTTTGTACGTTCTGAAGGAATTTTAACCGTGTTTAAATAAAGTTATCTACTCTACTCTAAATGAAAGGCAAAGTAGCTCCGGCAAAAAGCACAACAAAATAAAAGCATACGTCTCGTTCTGTTTATCTCTTTCCGCTGTTGTTTCGCCGACTCTCTACCGTTTTCTTTATCGACAGTGAAACAAACGAAACTATTCCACTCCATTTCCGAAATGTTTTTCACTTTTTTAGCGAGAAAAACTCTTTGAGTAAAACTTTTCTCGTTGAATGTGTGCGAAGCGCCGCTGCAAGCTGCAATAAAAGGCGGGAATTTTGGCGCGAAACTCACACACCTCTGTGGCTTCTGATTGGACGTATCCTTTTTCTCACACGTGAAAAAACATCGTCCGCGATTCTGATTGGACGTATCATTTTTTTCACGTGTGAAAACCATCGTTCGCTCCTCTGATTGGCTGGAACTAATTTGCGTACGAAAATTTACGACATAGCTTTTTGGTTAGTATTTCTCAGTATGTATATAATAAACATTATTATTTATTTATTTCGTACATATTTGATTTACTGGTGACAGTTCGAGTTTTGCAGAGCTCGAGGTTTTAGCTTGTTTTCGTTTTGTATAATTATTTCGAATTTTCTGTTTAGTAAATAAGGATAGAGACCTTCCAGCCGTGTTACCTTGGTAGGATGGGCTTTTCAGAGGTTGAGCCATAGATCCTACCCAAATTCCCTGCCACGCAGTTTTTTTCCCTACAGGGTTTTTTTTCCGACAGGTTTTTTCTGGCCTCTGTTCTGACAGTATTCTGTGTAAACTGTCGCTCATCTCTGTTCTAGTTTTTCCACCACACATGTTTGAATGTAATAGAAGTTGTTGTATAACGTATTGTTATATTTACGATGCTCGGCCGAAACAGCCAAAATAAACCTAATGGTTTTTCTATTTATGTTGTACTACGTAGTGGAGCTGAAATATCTTGTTGTCAAAGATTTGATGAAACGAAACAAACGCGATTAAAATGTTAGGATGTTGTACTGCTGATTACGATCAAACTTCGGGCGACTTGACTAAATTGAAAGTTTCGGCGACATAAATTCGGGCCAGATGACTCATCGGGCGACTTTACCGTAAACCGTCACGGTTATCTAGTTCATCGGGTTAGATATTAGATATTAATAACGCGTCGAATTTATTCGCGAAGGAACTTGTAAATTTACTCGCAAATGACAAAATCACAGCTTCGTATCAAAGAAATATATCTCCCAAAGCGTATCAAACGTTACAAACAACAAAAATGAACTTTGAAAAAACTGTTGGGTTAACAAGTTTTCAAAAGCCGCCATTGCAATTCGCCTCAAGTCTTCAGTTAGTCCATCCATGTCTACTTTAATTTTCTTCTTTTACTTTTCTGTTATTATTAACACCTGCTTTTAATGTTTCGAGCCATTATTTTTATGTTTCATTCAACCTGGTGGCAGTTTCAAATATTAGAATTTTGTTAAAATTCGTGTGACACAGTTCCTTTGATAAGAAGAGCAACACAACTAACAAACAACCAATTCACGTACAAAGGCAGCAACAGCAGCAACTACTCAACTCAACTGTATTTCCCGTGCATAATATGCAATTCTGTTGGCTAGACTTCAGGAGAATTTTTTTCAAGTTGCGGATCGTAATTTTTGGAACTTGAAAGAGAGATAAAAGAGACATTGGGATTATAATAAGGTGAAACTGAGACGGGTATTTCAGAAAGTATAACCGACATTTTGCAAATTAAAATGACCATTTGAGTGCAAATTATCCGTCTGATACAGTGTTCGCAGCTAATTTTTTTTCTCAAAACTATTATTCAACTTAGTAAAATGATGAAAATTAAATTTTCAATTAATTTATTCCTTTCCAAGTTTTTTTCCTCTTTTGAAGTTCGAGGGCCAATTCAAAAGAGACTGCCGATCATGGACTTTCAAACAGAAATCAAAGATGGCTGCCCAGATGATGCCGCCGTAAGGTTGCCAAAACGACGCCTTGAGTCAATATTTCGTGATTGGAACGCACAAAAAATTGTTTACTAAAAAACATTTAAAGACTGAAAAAATAATAGTTACTAGGTTAAAAAAATATACCATATCATGGCTCTTGACCATATGTAAGGATGCATGGGAACCCTAGACTTTAGAAAAAGTCCTTGTTCCTATTTTATACGGCCCGCAGGACGAATTACAGCGGTCACCACCAACACGCGCCCTGCGATTTAGTGGACGTCAATCAACCGGTTAGCATGGTTTTCACGCGTTGGCCAAGAGAATTAAGATTCTTTTCCCGTTTCTCGAGCACTCGGAGGAACATTTCGGTATTTCGGAACATTTAAGCCGTTTCTGCAATATTTTGCCACAGGATCTGACACCGCTTTATGCCAAGATCACGAGGAGTACGAATTTGTTGAGTGTGTATCGGAGGAAACTCAAATGATCGACTTATTTACACACTGTAAGTTAAAATCACATATTAAGCTTTCTCGATACACGCTCGCAACTCGTCTGAGTTCTTGGTCGTTCTGGATTCTATTCGATAACATGAAGAATGATAAGTAGATCTGCAGGTTACAAAATCCATTTTCGAAAACAGCCTCCATTCAGAAGAAACTTCTTTCCCTTGGTGTGATATCTTTCGTTTCTTTGAATTTCTACTCCTTGGCAATTCGTCCACGGCTCCCGTTTTTTAGTACAATTAAATAAAACCTTCACGCAAACTATGAGTGAGTGTTTCGGCTATTTCACTCAGCTCGCCAGAAACATCGTTGTTTTAACAATGTAATCCTTCATCTTAATGAAATAATTAAAAACGCCGTCGTCATTAAAATTAGTATGTGTAATCAACTGGTGACGAGTGAAATTAGGGAATAATTTCACGCGCGTTTTGTCCAAATCATCATTTTTGGATTTTTGACATGTTTATCCTGGATCGTATCATCGAGAACTCCACTCTCTCGGACGTTTAAAGCTTAAATTTGCCTCAAGTTCAGAATTTTTCGACAAAATACCTGTTAGAATCCTTCTTGATGTGCTCTTTCGTGTGTTCAGGTTTTCTAAAGCGTCTTTTTATGCCCTGGCATCTTCATTGATGACATTTTAAAACTTCGTCGCCATCTTGACACTGAGACGTACGGAAGGTTGCCATGGCAATTTTGTAATTTCACATGTGAAATTACAAATTATCGCTGAAATTACGCGCCAAAATTAAGGAGTAATTCGTCACCTATGAAGTCTTTGCCCTTCATTCAGTGATGAGGGAACCTTCTCTGTCAGAGCTCGTGAGAAAACCATGGAAACAGTTGATTGACGCGTCCACGAAACCTCAGGTTTCAGCAGAGAAAAAAAACCCTTCGAGTGCTCGTGTTAATGGTAACCGCTGTAAGGTCGGCCTCTTGCGACTCACTTCGTCCCTTGCTATCTGCTCTGAAAGTGAAACTCGTAAGGTCGACTTGTGGTAAGTCTGACGAACCCCATCTGCAAACTCGATAGGTAACGGGCTACTCTGCATGTCAATTTCGTCTTTTTTTTCCCGAAAATTTCATGAGTAAGATGTCATTTTGTGGAATTTGACATTTATTTTCTCGGGCTCTCATTAGAAATCTTCGCTTCTTCGCCGCTTTCGTATGTGTTCAATCAGGAGAATTATAATATAATTTCAGTGATGTTCAGTCTCTTGGGGAGCAAAAAAGTATATATTACAAACTTAAAGTGCTACTACGACGAAAATTTTTGTTTTTGTTTCCGAGTTTTTTTAACATAAATCTTTTGTATATGTTCAAAATTATACAAATAGCGAAAAATTGGAACGCTACTTGCGTACGGGGGCTGGAAATTTCCCACTGAAAACTGCGTAAATACCGTCCGCCATTACAAAGTTCGCAAAGCAATAGCCCGCGAGATCTCCGCAAAGCGGTCGTGCGTTTGACCACGTGATTTATGCACTGTGACGTAGAAACATCAACCAAAAGATTCGCATTTGGGAAAAGTTTGTGAGTTTAGAGCCTTTTAACAAGACGTTTAAGATGTCATCTCCGTCGGATTCCTCTCCCTGCACATCTGAAAGTGATCTAGAAAGTTTTACAGTTGACGAAGTGATGGGGGAATTGTCTGAATTTGCGCCGTACGACGACAGTTGCGAACCCCTTGCTACCGAGGAAGAAGCCGCGGACTACAATGAAAGAGTTCATCGCGAAGAAGAAGAGGAACAACAGTTTCAGCGAAGATATTCGGGAGAGGTGCCAGCGAATGAATGGTATGGTATTATCATGGAATGTAGATTTATATTTTTATTTTCCAATTTCAACATACCCGTCGTTAAATCGTGCGCGTGAGGAACGCGACTGTGTGTTTTGTTTAAGTTTACAATTTCGTTGCTTTGTGATTAACTGTAGTCCTGATTTTATGCGATAGTTTTATTGAAGAGGTCAGACAATTAATAATTTTATACAGACGTATTTTTCTTGTGTTTGACGAATTTTTCACATTACTTTGCAGGTGTTCGTGCTCGAACTGCTCTGTCAGCCTTGTTACAAAAGCGCAGGAGTGCATTTGCTGCAAAGAGATCGATCGCTGCGAAGAGGTCATGGAAGAAGCCATTGGAGACCGGACCTTATGCATAACCCTCCATCCAGGGTTTGAAAGCGTCTGCTTAAACCGCCACGTATTAGAAGTGGCTGCACTGGGCCTAAAAACGCGAGCTGGAAAGTCGTACACAACTGTTCGTGGGCAAAGCCACAAAAGTGATAATGAGTAAGTTGGGGTATTGTTGACTTTGTATCGGAACGATCGAACCGTACATAGCATTGAATAATTGATTCATCTAAGCTTATCGCCGTGGACTGATCTCATAGAATCACATTTTTTATTTTCTAAATGGCTTTATTGCCCCAACTGCTTATTTTTAAAAGGAGTATTTATTTATCTCCATCCAATCCCTCCTTGAATTAACAGTGATCTCATTTCTCTAACTAGATTCCTGAGGTCTGTGGCCTATCGCCAATTTACAAGACTGCTGTGGAGTTATATTGGTAGTTCCAGGCGATACCCCTTGCCCTGTTGTGCCTACAATAAAATCAGGAAACAATTTCCGAGTCAAAATGGCCATTATCGTGGATTCGAAGATGAAGAAAATGAATAATAAATGCACTGTTTGTTCTTGAAGAGTGTCATGTATGCCATTGGGGCCAAGTAGGACCTACAGTAGTTGCGTGAATACTTGTCCGTAAACACTTAATTTTATGGGCCAAACTTCAGAATTCTCAGCCACTTACTCGCTTTTTGTTGAATGACAAACTTGCCCACTGTGTGAAGCCCTGTTCTTCTAGCGTTCAGTTAAACTGAAGTTTAGTGGCTGGGAATTCTGATGTTGCTCCAATTTTCATGTACACAAGTAATAAAAATTAAATCGAATTCAGCCTGAATTTAATTACAGTTTTAATGTATCGTTTCTTTCTTTTCACTCGGCTCACAGAGCACTGCAAAACTTAATAGCAGGTTACCTGCTGGAAACTTTCCTAGCAGGTCTGGTTGACTCTTCCAGACTTTTGTCTGGCTACAGTTTCTGCAGAAACTTTCTACGGTAAACAAGGTACCTGTCTGTGATACAGAAAGTTTGGGTTTTGAAAAGAAGCACAAGTGGCAGAACTGAAACAAAAGAAGAAGTTTGGAAAGGAAAACAATTCCCTTCGGTTCCTCTCGAATGTTTTTTCCTTGTAGATCCAACCTGTAAAAAATGATTGAAAGGAAATACTCATTTAATCATAGCATCTGAAATAATAAAAAAACAACAAAAAAAAAATGATTATCATTTTTTTTATTGTTTTTCTCAGGGTGTTGCCAGTTTTTCAACTTGTTGTAAACCTGGCTAATCGTGGGTTGGGATTTTTTTCTCACATACATCCTGAAAAATGCTTTTTTATAATAATTCTGTTGATTGCACACATGACAACTTTGAGCCCTTAAGCTATCTAGCCCACCCCAACGATGCATAATTTATTACAAGTGGTTGAGTGGACAAACCAAACATTTTTAGGCCTGGGACTTCCAGTCTATGGGCTGGCTATGCCTCTTCTTTTTTTTTTTTTTTTTTTTTTTTGCAATTCTTATCTGAGTAAATTAAAAAACAAATTTCATGTACTCTTGTTTCTAAATAGATCCTCTCATAATGGAAGTTAGTTTTAGGCCTAAATCACTTCCCAGAGGATACTTAGAGCTAAGATGTTACAATGCAATAAATTTTACATCTTTGTACCTTGGGTTCTGATGAGTCTTCACTGAGTCATCATCTTCCTTTAGTTTTGTATATGCATCTTCGATTTCTTCAGGACGCCATGTAGGGTCTTCATCACACTCAAACTCCTCATATGCGTCGTCCTGCATTTCCTGCTCATCTTCTGATTCATCCTCTAGCCCTAACTCCGTCTCATTTGTTACTGGCCATGGATCAGTTTGAATAGCTTAAACAAATGGAATTAAAAAAATTCTATTACCATTAAAATGTTAATTATTATTAAATCATCAAATATTGATAAAATGTAATAAAAATATAAAGATAGGCAGTTATGCCTATGTGACTCATCAACATCAATAATTACTGTTGACTCACCAGCATTCACCATCAGCAACTGCTTCAGCTCTTGTATGCTCTTAAAGGTTTCAACCCACTGATCTTGATTGGAGATTAACTTACTCTTCAGTCTTGTGACTTTGCCCCTTAACTGAGTCACCTCACTCCTCAGGGTTTTGCATGTTTTGCAGTTCCCAGCATGTCCAGTTGGAGTATCCTACAAAAAACAAACTTTCAACATTAATACAGGCTGTAATAACAAGACTTCAGAATTTTTGTGTTTTAGTATTGTTGTAAAATAACTGCACATGTAGTTTTCCATTGTTATGATAATACAAAGATGCAAATAAACATTAATTAGAGTTATGCGCCTACCATAGAAACCTGTTCAAGTTCAGGAATCATTAATGATTCATCAATCTGCATAACTTCATCCATATCCTGCAGTTTTTCGATTCCCTGAGCCTCCAGGATCTGCGTGGTCTCAGTAACCTCATCAGTGCCGGAAATCCCTTGGCTCTCGAGAGTTGTCTTATCACCAGGAGTACCTAGGACCTCTGAAGCCATCTCAGCATCAACACTTATCTCACCCGTCTCAGTCTCAGGGATGCAGCCCTACTTTTCAGGATTTACCTCAAGCAAAGAACCCTGACTTGTGTTCAGAACACCCTCGACTTCTGGAGACTCCTCAGGGTTGAGATTGGGAGCCCCCATAGTGTCAGCACTCTCCTCAGGTGCAGAACTTCCTTTCAAAGAGATCACCTCTTCTTCAGGATTGTCTTCTTCCTCTGTATCCTCATTAGTAGTTTGACCAGCCAGAATTTCATTTAGTAGCTAAAAATGAAAATAGTTACGACTATTTTTTATATATCCCCTTCAAAACAAGTTTAAATTTGAGCTTTATGTCGATGTTTTCAAAAGTAGAAATGAAAGCAAGGTTTAACCGCATCTTTGCCTTAAAATGTATGCATCATTTGCAGACAGTGAAAATAGAATTAAAATACAAACGAAAAAACCCGCAAACAGTAACTGAACTTATAGAATGTAGAAATCAGACTAAGTCCATTCTTGGTCGTTTTAAAAGATTCGCGTGTAACTCCTAATTTGCTGTAAGATTTCTTGGAGGGAAGTTTGGAGTACTGTCAAATCTCAAAGTAACAGCAAGATAATCTCTCAAAAAATAGAGAGCCGGATTTCTATGTAGCTTCACTTTTTCTAAATTTTACGCTTGAGTCAGGGCTTCTGATATTTCGCGGAAAAAAAAGCAAAATTTCGCGGGATTTTCAGGGGCAAATTCGCGGAAAAATCGGCCGATTTCGCGGGATTTTCGCGGGAAGAAAGTCAAAATTCGCGGAAAGATCGGCCGATTTCTGGTATTTTTGGAAGAAAAAGTCAAAATTCGCAGAAAAATCGGCCGATTTCGCGGGATTTTCGCGGAAAAAAGTCAAATTTCGAAGGATTTTCAGAGGCAAATTCTTAGAAAAATCGGCCGATTTCACGGGAAATTTCGGGGGGAAACCTCGCCATGAAACAATCAGTAAAAAACAGCCTATTTCGCTGGATTTTGGGGGGGAAATTTCGCTAAAATCGATCAATTTTGCGTCGATATGACCAGCGTTGTTTAACGTTTTTTTAACCGGGACAATCATTTGCTCTTTCAACAACAGTTCGCTCGAAAAATGAGCGAATGCTAAAGATATTAAACATTTTGGTTAGTGCCCAGTTTTTCGCAACGTTCATCTAAAAACGCCTGGTAGTTTTGGGACGTTGTTTACTCGTTGCAGTGACGAAGTTTCAAGATAAATTTGGACGTTTGGGGTGAATAAAACAGGTCTAATAGCTAAGATAAGTATTAAATATGTTTTGCCGACATGTATTTGGAAATATTTCCGGCGGATTTCGCGGTATTTCGCGTTTTTTGGGGAATTTCGCGGGATTTCGCGGAAATACCTGAATTTCGCGGGTCCGCGACCGCGCGAAATATCAGAAGCCCTGTTGAGTGGAAAGGTCTCGGGATTGGCGAATGGACTTCACGTTCGATCACGTCCACTCAGCGCAAATGCCCGTTTTACTATAACTATGAGAAGAAAGCAGAAAAGTATGAAAACTCATGCAACAATATGGGAAGTCCAAATAGTCAGAGCATTCATTACACGAATATTGAACAACGATGCCAGAAAAAATAATGTCACAGGTAAATGGGGAAATAAATATAATGGTGATAAGCACAGCGCAAATACATTGTAATTTCACTCACCGATCTTCGACTCCGCTTTGATAGTGTTTGAGAGGATTTTTCCAAATGGTTGGAAACGTCCCCTTCTTCAAATTCCTTTTCATGCCTTTCATCGGAAAAGCAAAGCGTAAAACAATCCCTTGTAAAATGCTCCGAGCACACAGCAAATTTTCCCACTCTGTTGAAATCCTTCCGATGAATGGACACGAACCTTTTCCACTTTAATCTAACGCTGCCCGAATCAGGAGAATTCATCGTTCTTTACGTTTCCACAGTCCTGAACAACACAACGTCTACCAGGTATACTTTCGCTTTAAGTCAAAAAAGCGAAGAAAGAACCTCCAAAAGCTTCCAAAAATATCTCGTCCTGCATGCGAAATTAGCCTGGTTTGTTTACCTTTTTTTGTCGCGTTGATTTTTCTACGTCACATCTCGCCCCAACTCCTTCAAATACTACTCCCGGTCATTTTTTGAATCGAGTAATGGCGGCAAGACATTTACGAAAATTGCCGTGCAAATAAACACACTTCCAGATCATATTTGGACTCCAAACTTGGCACGGTAAGTCACTTTTACATACATTTTCGAAATATGTAATCAAAAACAAATTCCCAAATTTGATCGTAGTAGCACTTTAAGTATACATGAACATAGTGGCTTCTGGCTATGGCCTGAGGGAAAATAAAAGGCAAAGATTCCTTATCTTTCTGGTACCTGATGACCTCAAGACCCGGAATTTTCAATTTTAATTAAAATGCTTAACTTTTCATGACAACTTTTTTCACCTGTTCGACAACAAGATAATAGTGACAAACTAAACATTAATCTCTGTTGCGGAGTGTATATAAAGCAAAGTTGTAGTAATTTACAAATTTGAGCTAGAAGATTGAAAAAGTTGAAAAGCTAATCGAAAGGATTGTGTACCAGTGCTGATTCAGTTTGACAGGTGCCTCTCTTCAGAGAAACCTTCATTTCATTCTTTATTTTTTTTTTTTCTAATTAACTGACTGTTAAATGACTGTTCTTTCATGAAACATGAACGTTTTTGTTCTTTTGGCTGAGTTAAAAGAAAATCTGGTTCATTTCCTTTCAAATCATAATCTCGTAATATTCTGTCTTTTTCTTACTGATTGTATTATTCAATACACGCAAATTTAACCATATTTAAGGTTAAGAGTAGCTGTAATCTCTATTACGTATACAGGGTTAAGGAAAGAAAGAAAGTTTCATGAAATTACAAATTTTGCAAGAAATTTGGATAAGCTACTCGAGTCGACCGTGCCGGTGCCATGTGCTCAGTGCAAATCATTTTCACGTACTGACTCCGAATATTGGATGACTAGTGCCTGTAGCTCTTTTTACTAAGTTTTACTTTATATTGTTTTCAAATCTAAGGGCCACTTATTTAAATAGAGTTTAGCCTGTGTTTAACAAAAACGTGTTCCAATCCATTTTCAGTTTGTCCAGTGTTTTTATCTAAACACAATTTATCATGAGCAATTTCAATAAAGCCTATAGCATAGACTGGAAAAGCATTTGTTTTCTTGAGGTGACTGTTTTTAGCAGTAGTAAATAAATATTGTTAGTGTTTTTAGTGTCAGAGGGCATCTAATTATTACTACCAAATAGTTAATGACAAGAGGTAAAAAAAAAGACGAAATTGACATGCGGAGTAGTCTATTATCTATCGAGTTTGCAGATGGGGTTCCTCAGACTTACTACAAGTCGACCTTACGAGTTTCACTTTCAGAGCAGAGAGTGGGGGACGAAGTGAGTCGCAAGAGGCCGACCTTACAGCGGTTACCACTAACACGAGCCGTCGAAGGGTTTTTTTTTCTCTCTGTTGAAACCTGAGGTTTGAAACATGTGCTTTTCCAGTCTATGCTATATGCTTTATTGAAATTGCTCACAAACTGAAAATGGAATAGAACACGGTTTTGTTAAACACAGGCTAAAATCTGTTTAAATAAGTGGCCCGTAGCTTTGAAAACAATATAAAGTAAAACTTAGTAGAAAGAGCTACAGGCACTAGTCATCCAATATTCGGAGTCAGTACGTGAAAATGGTTTGCTCTGGGCACATGGCACCGGCACCGTCGACTCGAGTAGCTAATCCAAAGTTCTCGCAAAATTTGTAATTTCATGAAACTTTTTTTTTCCTTAACCCTGTAATAGAGATTACAGCTAGTTTTAACCTTAAATATGGTTAAATTAGCATGTATTGAATAATACAATCAGTAAGAAAAAGAAAAAAAATTGACGAGATTATGATTTGAAAGAGAATGAACCATATTAGCTCAACCACAAGAACAAAAACGTGCAAGTTTCATGAAGAACAGTCATAATTAACAGTCAGTTAATCTAAATAAAAGTTTGTTTGCGTTTAAAGAGAAGCAGCTGTCAAATGATCAGCACTGGCACACAATCCTTTCGATGAGCTTTTCAACTTTTTCAAGCTTCTTGCCTAAATTTGTAAATTACTACTAACAACTTTACATTTATTTATATTAACACACCGCCACAGAGATTATTGTTTAGTTTGTCACTATTATGTTGTTGTCGAATGAATGAAAAACGTTAAAAAGTTTAAACATTTGAATTAAAATTGAAACTCCGGGGCCTTGAGTTCATTAGGTACCAGAAAAACTACGATAAAGAATTTGTGAATGAATGTCAAATTTCACAAAATGACATCTTACACAATCATGAAATTTTCAGAATTTTACCTGTGTTTTCACAATTCTTGTGAAATTTGACAAAATAGTCTTTGGTGTTATTATAGATAACTAATTATAATATCTATAGCCCTTGAGAAATGTAAAAAAGAATGGGATATTAGGGCCATTTATACGAGGAAAAATAAGACGCGTCTTACATAAGACGCGTCTTAAATAAGACGCGAACTTTCCGTATAAACGGCACATTTCGTCTAAAATAAGACGCGGCTTAGCTAAGACGCGTCTTATTAGATAAGACATGCTCGTATGAATGGTACAGTTCGCGTCTTATGTAAGACGCGTCTTATTTTTCCTCGTATAAATGCCCCTATTGTTTATTAAATTATTCTGGTACAAGGTTTTGGTCCACTGCTTCTTGCCCAAATTTGTAAATTACTACTAACAACTTTACATTTATTTATATTAACACACGGCAACAGAGATTATTGTTTAGTTTGCCATTATTATGTTGTTGCCGCATAGGTGAAGAAAATTAGAAAGTTGAACATTTGAATTAAAATTGAAACTCCGGGGCCTTGAGTTCATTAGGTACCAGAAAAACTAAGACAGGGAATTTATGAATGAATGTCAAATTTCACAAAATGACATCTTACA